TATATTTTTGAATGTTATCAAAACTGACCAACTGTTTAAAGTTAAAATTTTTGTGTTAGGCATGAATATCAATTTCAAATTACAATGATTCACTAACTTTTATATTGGGAAAATTGATTAGAATAAAGTTACACCATCTTTAAATAAGATTCACATGTCACAAAGCACATTCAAGTCATGTAAAAAAATAGTACTAAGATAATTAATGAACTTCGATAGAATAATCACCCAATGTATGTTTTTGTTAACTATGTCAATCTATTCTAGAATCTTGTCTCGTTAGTATATTTATATGAAAACCTTTCTTACTTTATTTTTTAAATTAATTGAACTTTTAGGACATACATGTTCTCACTTCTAAATACTTTTTATATGTACACCACTTTGATTTCAACCATGACAAGTGGAGTCGTAAATGTGTGAAGCATAGCTTAAAAGGAAGTCTCTACATGTTGGTCCAGGTATGTGTTGGCCTTTTAGGAAATGATGATACAAGACAGGCTATAGTCGACTTCTTGGATGAAGCACATATATAACTTTATAAAAATAAAGCAATTGCTACTTCATTCTTTTTCAATTTTATATATTACCATTTTAAAAGTTTCAGAAACTAGACAACATTCATTATTATGCTAATATATCCATATACTCTCGTATAATCTTAATACCAATTTATTTATATATATTTCATTAAGAAATCTTTTCTTCTTGTTTTAAAGCGTTTAAAAGAGTTGATCATAAAAATGAAACAAAGCGAGTAACATCTTATTGGGCCCGGGGCACAGCGAGAGACATCCTCTAATGGGGAGTATTAGTAGTTCAGATGAGGAACTATCATTGTTTCTAGATATGCGAAGAAGGGGAATGACAAAAATAATAATCGATTTTTTCAAAAATTCAATGAATTTGATCCCCTTGGTAAGTTTTTTTTTTTTGGTTCTTCTTCCAATTATTGACCTTTCTTTGTTCAAATTGACAGCATAAAGAATAAATTTCAAGTTGAAGTTGTTTTTTGTAGGTGCATTTCAACTTCAAGTTCAAAAAATATTTTGAGTCTTCATGGACATCATATAAATGTGTCTAACTAGTGAGAAATTAGTGATTTCAGCTTCATAACCTAAAGTTCACGTATGTAATTTTTTTTCAATCCTATCTTATTGCAGGATGAAAAAGTGGTAGTTCGCCTGCATTTAATATTGAATCAGCTGCACCCCTGCAGAAGACTCGTACGGATGAGTTCCTTAATGTTGACAATGATACAGCGGATTACGATTGGTAATTTGTTTCTTCTTCTCCTTTCCAAGTATGTGATTTTTTGAGTTGTTTAATTGTTTCTTTTAGCTGCTTATGTTGATTTTTGACATCATAAGTTTCTTTATCCAATTTAATCTTTTTCACCATGTAGTTTATAAATTGGATGAAGTCATAAGAAGTTCCTTAAAGTTGTCTGCACAATTCACTTAGACACCTTAATTAAAGTTTTTATCTATTGAACACCTCTAGAACTTTGAATTGATACCTCTTGAGCCATTTATTGCCTATGTGTCATTTTAAGTGTGTTCACGTTTGATGAGCGCGTGAAAGCTCTAATTAGACACTTTTTTATAAAAAAAAAATTCTCTTTCTTCTTCCTTGTGTTTGTCATGTCACTTTTCCGGCGACCACCATTGTTAATCATACTCTCTCCTTCTTTCATTCTTTTTTTCTAGTCACTTATCTCCTATACATTAATGATCATTTTATTTTTCCAAATTTGTCATTATTGTTGCCATCACATTCATTCCTTTCTCCTCTTTTGAGCAACCACCACCACTTTTACCATTAAGGCTGCCGCTTGGTTGTTATTTTGCCAGACTAAAATTGCTTGAATCTAAACTTGTCATTGTTGATTTATAGTAAAGAAGAAGAACAAAAAAAACAATGACCGGCAGTTGATAAGTAGCTAGGAAGAGGACTGTTAGAGTTTTTTTTAAAATTTAATGATCAACCATTCATACAAAAGAAGTACAAGAAAAAAAGATTAAGTACAAGAAAAAAAGATTAATTGTTGACATCCCTTTTTCAGAATTGAAATTATTTACATTGAATTAACTCAATTACACCATTAGTTGTTGACTTCACTTAAAAAAAATTTAAACGTGAAACAAAGAGGACATAAATGAAGAAATTGAAGAAGGATCAGTTTTCAAGAAGGTGATGGTGGCGACAACAATAGTGGTTGTACGATGGCGTTTTGAAAAAAGAAAATTGAAGAGCTAATGGTAGGGGTGAAAAATAACCTAAAAACAATTTTTCCTTTTCTTTTCATAATATTTAGTTGTTATTTGGATTCAAAATGGCACATGTATGTTTTTTATAGGTGAATTTGCCACGTCACCATGAATGTATTACACTCTTTTTATACTTTTAGATGATTGTCAAAAAAAATCTTAGATGGTTCTAATTCAAGTTGGAATAAGTGTTCAATAGGTATATGTCATAGTTGAGGTTTACAAATGAAATATGCGGACAACTTTAAGGGGTCATCTATAACTTAAGTCTTATAAATTCTTTAGGGAAGTATTGATGAGTTGATTTCTCAAATGGTAACCATTTCTTCTTTATTCCAATTTTTTCAACAAGAAAGTAGTATTGATCTTTTTAGAATGCCTAAGGACATTGATCTTCCGTCTTGCTTAAGGATATATCTCTTTTCTTAGACTCGATAAGGAGAGAATACACCACTTGGGTGGAAGGGGAGTCCAGGGTTATTCTACATGGACATGGCTTCAAAAGGGATGTTTCTTTTGATAGTAAATGGAATATTTACCTTGTTTATTTTTTGGCGATGTCATTTTTCACTATGCTTTCACACAAGAAGATGAGAATAATAACAATTAGTTAAGTGAACATCTCGGAAATTAACTCAAATGTTAATGCACAAGTTTGCTTGAATTATCTTACCTACACAAGTTTACCTTGTTAATTTTTCGGCAATGTCATTTTTCTCTGTGCTTTCACCCAAAAAGATGGAGATAATATGTTATGGTCCCTATTATGGATCTAGTTATGGGATGCTGCAACATAAAAAGTTTTCTTCTTATGACCATTGATGTTGGTTCGTTAATAGAGAACCTGCAATCTCTCGAGTTACAGTACTCAAAAACTTAAATGACTTTTTTTCTTACATTTCCTAAGACAAACAAATATTTTAAATAAAATACTTAAAAGAGATAACTACTCCCATAAATTAGGACATGACTTCCTAACATTACTGGAATGAAAAACTGCACTATTAAAGGAAAATGACTACTACTAAAAGGAAATGATTACTGCTAAAAAGAAATAACTAATGTTGTAACTATTGGATGACTAATGAATGATAAAATTACTCTCTTTCTTCAAATCGCGCTTGTCCTCAAGCGCTAAATGCGGTGAGAAATCTTGTGTCTTGGATTGACTTCGTCTATAAAGTCAATCCAGAATAATTTCTTGCATCGATGACCTCAGGTGAATGGTTTCATAACAATTGAAACAAAGTCCCTTAAGTTTCCTCTCCTCCATTTCAGAACTGTTCAGTTTCTTCACAAATCTGACATGATGTTTTGGTGAGAAACTTGTTGTTTTGGATTTGGCAATCATCTAACGATTGTGAACAAACGAGTTGTTCCTTGCATTCATAAAGTCGAGATAAACTCATCGCTGTAGCCAAATCTGGATGATTATGCAACTCAACCTCAATTGTTATATAATCAGCTAGACCACTGATATAAAGTTCAATTTTTTGCGACTGAGTGAGTGTACACACCCGCAGAATTAATTTCTCAAACTTTCCTTGGTAATTTTTCGCAGACCCTATCTGGCATAATTCACCAAATTCTCCCAATTTTTTACTTCTAATTGGTGGCACAAAGCGAATGTTACATTGACGTTTTAATTCATCCCAAGATGGTTGAGAAATATCTACCTCTAGTTGAAGAAACCAAAGTTGTGCATTGCCTTCTAAATGAAATGAAGCAAGTCCAACCTTTTCTTCTTCTGGATTTTGTTGGTGTCGAAAGAAGTGTTCACATCTGTTCAACCATCCCAAAGGGTCCTCTTGGCCATTAAATCGTGCGAAATCCAACTTTGTATGTGAGAAATGATGAAACTTCCTCCTACTTTTGAATCTGACCCTCCTATCCCTTTATTTTTTCTCTTCCAAACGCGATGCTGACTTGTATATATATTTGAATCAGAAGCAACCTTAGAATTCTCTAAATCCTTTGGGAGTGCATCCAAACGAACAATTTCTTAAAACTCATCCAAAAAATTAAATGTAAATATTTCTACGCACTCATTTTGGTTTTTCCTCAAACATATGATGGTTTAGAGGACGATATTATTTTCTACTTAATTAGAAGTCTCGAGTTCAAATTTTGAATATGAAAATAATTCTTGATAGGTTGTATATCTCTTCAAATAAAGCCTTACACAATTTTAAATTTTAAATTTTAATGCAGATGTCGGATGGAAAAAAATCAATACAAAAATAAAAATTTGTTAAATGTTACTCCCTTTGTCCGAAATTGTTTGTCATTTTGCGCTTATCGAAAGTCAATTGACTTATTTTCAAAAGGTAAATTAGATCACATTAATTCTATATTTTAAACAGAAAAATTAGATAATCTAAAATTATATGAAAAGTACTATAAATACTATTTTTTTGCATATTAATATAATAAAAAGATACATCTTAAAATGTTTGTCAAAAAAATTTTAATTTGACTCTAACATTAAAAAACATGACAAAAAAATCGAACAGAGGAAATATTAACAAATAGAACAAAGCAAGAAAGAATTGGGAGGAGATCAGTAAAAGTAAAACGAAAAGATTAAAATAGAAGAGAAAAGGAAATGAAATGAAATAAAATAAAAGTGAAAAGTAGGTCCCAATAACATGTGACAGCCAAATAAGCTTCGTACAACTGACAGTAATTATATCCCGCACATAATAATATTTTTCACTTAATAGCAATCACAATACTAGTACTAAGACTATTCCTCCTACTACTTCCTACCAAATGAGGCCTATTCTTTTATCATTTTTGATCTTTTCCATTTTGAGTCCTTTTCCTTTCTTGACGTTACTTACTAATATCTTCCAGCCAAAACATATCCTATTACCCCTTTTTGGATAACTCCTTTTGCATTTTCGTTCTTTAATTGTCTTGTGATCTCAAAAATCTTTGATGGGGAGATTATTTGTGTTGACTCTTGAAGGCAGCATCTACAGCAGCAAGCACTGTGGAACTCATCTTGCCCTTTCTGAAAACATTCTTTCCAAGGTTTAACTCCATCTTTTCTGTTTGATCACTCTGTTGTTGTGATTTCTTGAAATTTAATTTTGATTTTGATTTGTTTCGTTATAAAAATACTATCTTTGGCTTGATCAGTGGTTTTGTTTCTAGAACTTGTTAGGGATTGTTGTTGGTCCGTAACAGTAATTTTAGATGTATATAAAAATTGGCTAATTTAAATCAGTTATGTGAGCGAAGAATGTCTTAGATTGAGTAAATTTTACCCTAAAGGAGATGGGGTTTTTAGCATCACAGAACTGGGTTTTGTGGAGTTGCTGATTTTGGAGTAAAAGAGGATTGAATGATGATTGTTTGTGAACTTATAAAAAGTAGTTATTTACTGCTGATAGCATACCATACAAAATTCCTGCTTAATCCAGTTCTGAATTAGAGGAGCTGTTTGTTGAGTCTGATACTTGGAATATACTTGATTGACATTTTCCATTTGTTCCATGGCTGTGTGCTAGTGGCTTGAATATTCAAACTATTATTGTTATGCCCAGTCCGTTGATCAGGTCCTGACCTATTTTCTACATTTTTATCAATTCGGTGCTTGCTTGGTCTCTTCATTTTGCTTAATTTCATTGTCATGTGCATTCATGATTTTCTATGAAGAATTCCATATGACTTCTATAGCATAAAATAAGACCTCATTTTCAAGAGTTGCGGCTTTGAAACTACTGTTTCTTAGAAAATTCATATGCTTTTGGATAGAGCGAAATGTTGATTTTGCAATTAATTATATTGAAGTTTATGTTACATGCTTGTTTCAGCCCTTAAATAATGTTTGTACTCATTCTGAGTCATGAAGTTATCTAACTCTATGTTTTCCTTCTAATCTTTCCTTCAGTCTTTCCAGTGCAGACATGGGAAGGCTTATCTCTTCAGAAAGGTATAAGTCTATTTGATTCTGCACATTCAATCATCATATATGTTTGTGACATTTTCTCATGTCCAATTTTTTAACTTGCAACATGAAAATCACAAGTGCAACTTACAACTTCTGTTGGTTTTATTCTTGTTAGAGTATCTGATTGTTGTTAAGATTTTCTTGGCATTGATGGGACATAAGTTATTTGTAGCTTGTTTAGATGAACAAAATAATATTACGATAGTGAAGCTTATCATACCTCTGCTATAGAAAGATGAAAAAGCTACCGTATAAATCCTCTTATTTGACTTCCACCTCTTCTTTTACTAGTGTGGAAGATACTGTTAAGCTAGAAAGTGAAAAATGATGAAGTGTTGAAGAATTCATGTTGGTAGTAGTTAGCCAAAATTTTCAGATTTGAAATGAAAAAGGATTTGTTTTCAAAAGTTGAGTGCAACTGGAGTATGTACAAATTATTTGGCTTTTACTCTACGTGAGTCACGTAGCTCTCAGGATCTTTGATTTTGTTATTAGCTCCGAGTAATTTTTATTATGGAAGGTCACAACCAACCTAGAGTATTTGAGCGCACCTGAAAAGTTGTGTACAAGGCAGGCTATACCCTGTAGGTTTAATTTGTTGAAGACATAATACTTTGTATTTGTATCTTAATAAATTTGTGTCTTAGAGATTGCTCTTAGGATCTGATTTTGTTATCAGCTCTGAGTCATTATTATTCCGGAAGGTCTTAACTCATGACCAACCTAGAAAATTTGAGTGAACATGAAAAGTTGAACAAGGTAGGCTATACCTTGTAGGTTTAGTTTGTTAAAGACATGGTACTTTTTATGTATATCTTCATATATTTGTGTCATTGACAATAAAATTAGCACCAGAATTTGATCTATTGGAATTACTATAGAACCTAGTGGGGATTTTACCCGACTATTATATCGTGTACTTTTGAATGTATTTCCAGGAGTACAAACATTAACACATCAATGTATAGAGTAATTTCTTACTTGACTTGAGTTATTTTTCACTTGGTAGCAACATTACAATAGTTACATGGCTGAATGCATATATTATGCTCCACTTGATTGCTCCTGTTCAAGAGTCCTGCTCTTCTCAAACCTCTTCATTTAATTTTATCATTTAGCATAAACATACAAAATGATAATGCACTTTGTAGTTCTGTGTATTCTATACGCCTTGTGTTTCTTTTGACAGGGTGAATATCACTTCTGGTGAGATAGAAAATAGAATGATGATGACTGGTATGCACACTGTGGCAGACATTTTCTGTATCTGTTGTGGGTCAAATGTTGGATGGAAATATGTGAGTATGGAGTGATAAAATGCTAGACATTGTCTTTTGGCAGTTGCTAGAAGTTTTAGATGTTCCTAATATGACGATTCTTTTCAGGAGACCGCCCATGAGATGAGCCAAAAGTACAAAGAAGGAAAATCAGTGCTTGAGCGGTCAGTTGATTACTTCAGTTTTCTTTAGAATTGAGTTAGGAACATATCATAAGTCCTCACTGAGGTACTTTCTTTTATACTCAACAGGTTTAAGATTTCAGGACCTGATGGAAGCCATTACTCGGCTAGTCATGATATTCATGTTGCAGGAAGTGATGCTGATGATGTTTGATAACCATCGAGAACAAAAATTCTATCCCAAAATGTACATTCTTTAACTCACCACCCAATTATTTAGTTCTTTATGGACCATTGGATTCTTGAATAGCTTAAGCTACTACAACTTCATTAAGCTTGTCCTCTATTGTGTATGATAAAATGAAGCCGCCATGTGTTGTAGCAAACTAACATGATCATCTGCCTGCATTTGTTTGCAATGACAATACATTACTAGTAGCAACCACTCCGCTTTCATTGCTTCGATCTTTCCATTGTTGTTTGGTAGCTAGATAAAGCTATGTGGGTATTAGTTATGCAGGTATTACCTTAAGTAGGGTTTAGCTATGTAGGTATTACTTATGAGGGTATTAGTCATGTAGGTATTAGTCAAGAAAGTATTCTGGACATGTCTTTTTGAAATAAAACCAGGACTATAAATTGATTTGCCGTCTAGTTTGCCCTTTTCCATAACCATCCCATATCCTTCCTGAGTGACTCGCATAGACCATTTTGGTCTACCTAGATTTTCCATAAGCCCCAATATTCTATCAAGGCAGTTGCCGAACCATACTACATAGTTCTAGCGACAACAAAAGCTTAAAAAATTAGCACCTTACCCCCATAATCACATCAAAACTTCGTAGAGGTCATAGAAGTAAAACTGGTCTAGTATGGTGTGATGTTTTGTCCAGATGTAAACAGAATGATGACCATAACTAGCTAACATTTTGCCTGACAATCATGGGTTTGTTGTTTTATCAACAAAAATATGACAAGAGTGGGAAGAAATTTAAGATTATTCAGCAGATTTGTAACGACCTATTATGCCATTATAGTTGTTCAGGGCGATAGTACCCTTGTGTAGATCTCTGTGAGTCAAGAGTGTGGTAGAAATTCGGAAATGGAAAATCGAGTATGAAAATTTTCTTCTGTTTCACTATAGTGGACACTTTCTTTGTAATAACTAGATAACTATTTATACCTCATTAATTTCTGTTGAGCAATTCAAACGCTTAAAGAATCAATTTTATAGGGTTTCTAGGTAGGCTAGGTTCATAAATCTATACTAGAAAGGCAAGATTTAACGGACTAGAATTGAAGATCATTCATAATTAACTTGCCCCACATGTTGTGCCATCTAAAATAATAACCCTAGGTTTCAATGGATGAAATCCTATGGATATTCTTTTTAGTTCTAGGAGTAAACCAAAATATGGAAGAAACGAATGAACGGAAGACACTTACCTCAATAGAGAAAAACCCCAAGTCTTAGAAAATCGTCTCTGGGGTTCTTTGGTCAGATATTTTACATTATGACTAAGTACGGACAAAAAATAACATAAAGACGCGAGTTACTGTTTTTCGACCTTCTCCGTAGCGAAACTTCACAACTTCGTTATGATCATGCATACTTCCTATTAGATAAAATCATCTTTAAATAATTGGTTGAACCTTCTAAAGGTAAAATTATGTGAGTTTGAATACTCAAGACTTTTGTTTGAGAAAGAATATGATTAATGTGTTGTCATATTTTGAGAATGAATACTCTTAAGGGTAAGATTGTTCGTCGTTTCATGTTGAGAACTTACGGGTGATGAGTCTAAATATGAGATTTTTATTATTGTCTGTCGTCTCATGTTGAAAACTTACGAGTAATAAGTCTAAATATGAGAGTTTTATTACAACACGACTTTTGTTCAATATTTCTTTTTTGATGACAAGGGAAACCCACAACCGCTATCCTTTGGGTGCGCACAGGGTAAAACCCTCCCTCTTATGCAATAGCTCGCAAATCAAATAGGATAGGTAACCCTCACTAGCAAGCCTAAAATTCCTATAAATTTATGAATATTCTTTAGTTCCACTTGAAACTTTCTATCTTCTTAACCTCATATATGATAAGACATGTAGACCTTTCTCGTTTCACATGTACAGTCTGAATATATGTCATACCTCAATGATCTAAATTTGATATTTTAATTTTTTCTTAATTTCAACCTTTTTGCACACTTTGTACACGATAAGAAATTATTGGGCAAAGATATCTGATTACCTTTCATACGGTCACAATTCAGATAAAAGTGTGAAGTTTTGTCCAAATGAAAATAATGAAACCAGAATGATGTCCAAAACTGACTATCATTTTGTCTGACATTCATGACTTTATTGTTTTATCAACAAAATATGACAATTTGCATTAAATAACATACTCACTATCCTCAATAGATAAAACTCTACCTCAACGAAGTTTCAGTATATAACAACTATTTGACTACAATTAAGATTATTAAGCAAATACGTAACGACTTTTTCCATCGTTATGATTGTTTAGGCGATAGTACCCTTGTGTAGATCTCCGTGGGTTAAGAGTTGGTAGAAATCTTAAAATGGAAAATCGAGTGTGAAATTCAGCTTGTGCTTCCCTATAACGAACACTTCTTTAAATAGCGAGATTGCTATAACGAAGGAATGCTACATAGAGAAGGTAGCGAAGTTTCGCTATAGTGAAGGTCGGGAAACAGTAACTCGTGTTTTTAAGCTAGTTTCATTCAGATTTAATTATAACGTAAATTTCTTACCAGATAACCCTATGTTTAATTTCATCCTAATATGTTTTAAAAAAATATGAAAATTCTTTAGTTCCACTTCAAAATTTATAACCTTCTAAATCTCACATATGATTGGACCTGCGGACGGTCCATGTGTCACATTTACCATCCATGTATTCGTCATACCTCATTGATCAAAATTTAATATTTTAAATGCTCTTTGATTTCAACATGAAAAGATATTAGCTTTTACTATATCTACATTTGCTTTAGCATAGCTCAGTCAAAGCAATGAAATTTAATGACTCAAATCTAATTCATATTTTTGAAGTGTTATAGTTGACCTTAGTAAGTCATACCAAAATTACGGGTAAAATTACTTTATATTTGGCTTTCATATAACAACAACTGAAGTTTTATCCCAATGAAAGAATAATTGTTGACACCCAATCTTATCCTTCATTCACATTTTTTTCACGAGCTTCTTTTATTTGCGAGGCCAAAATATTTTTTAAGCCATCTTTGTCTACTTTTATGCTTAAAAAAATGTTATATGCTTAATTTTATTATCATTATATTGCATTTTCTGTTAGTGAACTGAGTAGAAAAGGGATTCGGCGGGAAAAGGAGTGTAACATGAAATAAGTAAGGAGGTCAACCTCTTTCAAATATATGACAATGTAGTTGGACTCTCATGTTGATCCACATGAATCATCCTTTTTATAGAAGAAAATCTTTGCCTTATTGGCAGAGGATAGTAAGTTCCAAGTTCCATATGAGATATTTTTATTACCATGAAATTCATAAATAAAGTAGTTAATGATAGGTTTTGTATTACCGTCTTTGTATTTATTCACGTTTATTAAGTACTTATGAATAATCATTTTCAAAGTTCAATTACTATCATGCTCAAGCATTTTTACAAAATCTAGTCATAGTCATATTTTTTATTTGGTTTCACTTGTATTTAACAATATCTAGTTATAATCATATTTTTAATTTGGTTTCACTTGTATTTACATATTTTATTATTCTTTTATACTATCTTAGTTTAGTTAGTTCTGGTAGCAAAGAATTTGTTGTAAGTCGAGTATATTTTTCTGCCATCATATGAATTTTTCTTGCAACTTATTCGATTATCTAAATAATGTGTAACTCCCTATTCAATTATTCATACATGCTTTTTATTTGGGGTTTTTGCGTCCTAGCAAAACTACTAGATTGATTTTAATTCTTAATCATGTTTTTTCATTTATCTTGTTGTTGCTACAATTCTCAATTACCCAAATTTTCTTTTTCCTATTTGTTGAAATATGCTTTATTATAAGTTTGATGTTTATTGGAAATAAGTTTTTCATCTCTATGAAATACAGATATGGTATGTGTACAATCTATCTCTATCCCTTTTCAAATTTCAGTTCTGAAAATTACATTTATTTTTGTTTGAAGATATTATTGTTTTTGTAATTATGTGTTTATTGTAAGTACTTTCGATTAAGCCTTTTATATTTTTAAATGTTATCAAAACTGACCAATTGTTTAAAGTTAAGATTTTTTGGGTTAGGCATGAATATCAATTTCAAATTACAATGATTCACTAACTTTTATATTGGGAAAATTGATTAGTGTAATGTTACATTATCTTTAAATAAGATTCACATTTCACAAAGCACATTCAAGTCATGTAAAAAAATAGTACTAAGATAATTAATGAACTTTGATAGAATAATCACCCAATGTATGTTTTTGTTAACTATGTCAATCTATTTTAGCATCTTGTCTCGTTAGTCTATTTATATGAAAACCTTTCTTACTTTATTTTTTAAATTAATTAAACTTTTAGTACATACATGTTCTCACTTCTAAATACTTTTTATATGTACATCACTTTGATTTCAACCATGACAAGTGGAGTCGTCAATGTGTGAAGCATAGCTTAAAAGGAATCGTCTCTCCATGCTGGGCCAGGTACGTGTTGGCCTTTGAGGAAATGATGATACAAGATAGTCTATAGTCGACTTCTTGGATGAAGCACATATATAACTTTATAAAAAATAAAGCACTTGTTACTCCATTCTTTTACAATTTTATATATTACCATTTTAAATGTTTCAGAAACTAGACAACTTTCATTATTATGCTAATATATCCATATACTCTCGTTTAATCTTAATACCAATTTATTTATATCTATTTCATTAAGAATTATTTTCTTCTTGTTTTAAAGCGTTTAAAAGAGTTGATCATAAAAAATGAAACAAAGGGAGTAACATCTTACTGGGCCAGGGCACAGGGAGAGACATCCTCTAATGGGGAGTATTAGTAGTTCAGATGAGGAACTATCATTGTTTCTAGAAATGCGAAGAAGGGGAAATGGCAGAAATAATGATCGATTTCTTCAAAAATTCAATGAATTTGATCCCCTTGGTACGTTTTTTTTTTGGTTCTTCTTCCATTTATTGACCTTTCTTTGTTCAAATTGACAGCATAAAGAAT